TATTTCTACTCTTGTGTTCGTGTTGTTCTTCCTTGGTCTTAACCTGGTCCATAACAATTATTATTATTATATATGTAATAATAATAATAATAATAATTATTATTATTATTATTATTATTATATATGCAATAATAATAATACTTATTACATATATAATATTAATAATTATTAATATTATATATGTAATGATAATAATTATTATTATATATGTAATAATACTAATTATTATTGTTATTATATATGTAATAATAATAATAATTATTGTAATAATAATAATTATTATTATTATATATATAATAAGAAGAAGCACTCCACATCACGTATTATTAATAGGTTACAAGTTTCCTTCATTATCCCTTCATTATTCAAGTTCGATCATTTTAACGGTATTGTCCTAACAAAAATCCCGCTAAGATGTGCCGGTTTTATTGTGTAACACACCCACAATCAAAAATATGATCACTACAGTATCAGCTAAGTCAGATTTTTCTGGAACTTTAAGATATATTTTCTTGAAAAGCAAATTGTTATACTGACATACTTTTTAAAGATAATCTTGCAGACCAGTCCTACTGTAATTACATAGATTCGAAATGGGTACCCCACGCTTAGGGTCCTATCGCAAGCTAAACTTAATGCCGATAAACAACGCCAGCCATTTCTTTTGCTGAGAGTTTGTTGTTTTATTAAGTTTTGAATTGTTTTCTGACTGGTTGACCGATAAGTATTGTCGTATTTTCGAAGATGGAATGAAAATTCTGGGAAATGTATTAAAATATATTTGTTAAGAAAATAATCATTATTGTTAGCAATGAAAACAATGCGACTATGAAACTAATTCTTTTGTACCTTGGAAGGTCCCTTTATTCATGGAAGGTGTCTTTAAAAATCCATCAAAACGTTTTGTACTTGTAAGGTTGGTAGTAGCATCCTGTTTAGTATCGTAAGTTTTGTCTATAACGAGCTCCTGGAATAAACAAAGAAAATCAAAGTAGATACTTATTGTCAAAAACGGCATTCTTTGAGTTAAGAAAAATGTATCTACACTATTTACATTATTCGGACTATTGTCGCCATATTTATTACAACGTTTCGGCCGTTGTACGCTCCGGACTTCTTCAGTATCTGTCTATATTTCTGAGATGTCAGAGGAGCGTTCGGTTAACAAGGTCGATTTTTACTGTTTTTTTTACTGTGGCCCAATCAGTAAAGGCACGTCAGGCTATATGACGGTTCCATATAGGATACAGGTTCGATTCCTGTCGGGGAACGCATATTTTCTATGAAAATTTCTCGGGACATTCAGGCCGGTAAATGTTGTTAATACAGTTTATTATAAACAGAACACTAACTTAAATATATGTATCTATAAAAAGAACGTATAAACATAAAAAAATGTCTTAAAAATAATTGTCGGACTTTATCCATTTCATATAATTTGTGAGATACGCTGCCTGAAGATGACTGTAAAATGTTCAAGCAGAAAGTGCAACGGATTAAACACAAGACATTTGTCCTTTGAGCTAAAATAAGAGAACTAAAAAAAACAGTGTTTACTTATTATATAGGAATCTCTGTCTTGTTATTGATTAAAGTATTTAACTACTTATAACGCGCATTCGAAGCACCCCTCCAATTTTGAGGGAAGAAAATAAAAAAAAAGTTTTTGTTTTGTACTTCATAGCCATCACGACTATTTCCAACGTTACCCACTGAATAGCATATTTCAGCATGAAACAATTGTTATGAATAATCAAGAGTGGTCTCCCTTTGTTTTGTTACTCTCCTCTTTCAGGTAGCTATTTCTGTTTACTGGGATTATAAAATGACGCGAACATTGTATCCTCAGTTGAATAAAGCTTTCTTAAAGCCTACACCTGCGTACGATTGTCATTACAACAATCATGATAATTTCATCATACACCGAGAAGTATATAAATTTATAGTAACTATTTAGAATGTAATAATTAGAAGAGAATTTAGAGTGCATAATATCACTAAAACATAATTTTATTGCAGCATCAAATCCTCTCTGATTATGACGAATTCATCACAAACCAGGATGTAGCACTAATTTTAAATCTGATACAGGGCTGAGAATTGGATGCAACTGAGGAGCTGACACTCACCCCAAACCCCAACCATATAACTCAGGTCCCCGATCTTCGATTTATAGGACGCAGTGTGGTTTTGGGGGATATTTTATAGGGAAAAATGCTACTTATAAGCAGAGAAATATGGTAGTCTTAACTTTTCAATCTTTGTAACTAGAGTTATTTTTTATTTATTTCCTGTTTAGTTGAATTTATCTTTTGTTTAAATGAACATTTCGAATTTCACTGTGTCACACCTATTGCCACTATCAAGCAACACCCAAGTTCTCATGGGAAAATCAATTTTAAGTCACCAAAATGAATAACCGGGTCATTATTCGGTCGTTAGGAATTATGTCAGTTAACATTGCAACGAACACACTTGAAAAGGAAAAACCTTGACCTGCACACCGGAAATTGCGTAGTGCAACGTTTACATACACGACTAAACACGCATAGCAGTGCAGGAAATGCTAAAACTTAATTTTACAGGCGATTAATACTGTATAGGTTCATGCCTCATTTTCTTCTCTTTTTTTTTTTCACTAAATTTCACCCAATCCAAGGTTCGATAGCCATTCAGATTAGAGACATTATGATGAAGTTGAAAATGATGAAAAATTGAGATGTTTAATATGAATTAAAGTTGATCTGGTTGATTTTGTTTAGCGGCATATCAACACCTCTATGGGTTATTTAATGCCGTAATCTAAGTATTTGGATTTTGATTGGTTGATTTTGTTTAGCGGAATATCAACACTTCTATGGGTTATTTAATGCCGAAATCTAAATATTTGGATTTTGGTTGGTTGATTTTGTTTAGTGGCATATCAACAACTCTATGGGTTATTTAATGCCGAAATTTAAATATTTTGTCCATAATTTTTATACTTTCAGAGTAAAGGTATCTTTTTTTAGATATATATTTTGCAGGCCATAAAGTGTATTGTTGATAATTTTACTATAAATTGTTTTTTTTCTTTCTTTTTTTTTAGTGTTTCATTGATTGTCATTTTTCTATAGAAATATATTGTGGCTCATTTTATTATATAAAAATGTATTATTGATTTTTGTTTGGGGATTCCCTATTTTCCCATAGCTGGGACCCTAACAGGTACTACTACCCGGACCAGGGTGGACCCAGGAACAACAATTAAAAGGTGGTTCCACACTCCTCAAAACCTCCAATCTTCTGATCAGAAGCCTTGTAACCGGATATAGTTTATCGTCATGTACAGGAAGATATATGAATTGAAGAAAGAAAAGAATTATGAGAATAAGGAGGATAGATAAAGATTGACCCTTGACTTGAAGAGGTAAAGATTAAACTGTTCAAGGAAGTATCTATGCGGGAGACTATTAGACAAAGTAGCAGTTCTTGGGATAATGTTTGTTCAGTGGAACTTCCTACATACAGTTGGAATATGAAAGGAATGAGAGTGATTCTAGTCCGTCGAGGTAGAATGGCCGAGTGAAGGCCTGAAATGGTGGAACTAAAGAATGGACCTCATCTGAACATTTGCCATGGAAATAGCGATTAAGCAGCGATAGTCTTGCGACGTTGCCTCTGTGGAGAAAGAGGGTAGAAAATGTCACCCCTTACAAGGCCCCGATAGTTAGGTACTCAGCTACGCAGTGGCCCTGCGACCACATCTGGACATGGGATTGATTTAGGTAGTAAGTTACTTGTGGGAGAGTGCTTTGTCCTAGTGTTCACTGATTCATTGTTTTCTCCATCAACAATCGTGACATGACAGTGACGATGCATTTGTGATGGGACAGAGTAAATGGATGTTGATTCATGCCTTTTTCATGTGCAAAATGAACGTAAATAACCTTAACCCAAATTCGAAACCGGTCTGACGGTTTCATTTTCGGTGCTATTAATAGTCATGCTACCTCGCTACACGATATTTATTTCTCGCGTGAAAAAGTTCTCAGCGCCAAAACGGATTTCATTTGTGTATTCAGTCTCTAGTTTTAAGAAACGCGTGTTGGGAAATTCTTACACGCACCGAATATATTCACTGTATATATGTAGCAAAAGGTAACTTCCAAAAGCTAAGCAAAGTATCAAGAACAAGGAAATTTAGTTGGAAACAAATATAAGAGTGCTCAATTGATGAAATATAAATTATCCAATATGGCAGTGAATGCTTCTCAATTTCCTCAAAGATGAGGAGGAGGCTTGAAGCAACAGAGACGTGATTCTACAGAAAGGTGCTGAGAAGGGTGAACAATGAGGAAGCTAAGCAAACTATAAAGAAACAGGATAATTTATTTGGAAACAAGGATAAGATTGCTTAACTTATGAAATAATGGTCAATTTCCACGCAGATGAAGACGAGACTTTAGTAAACCGAGATGTGGTTCTACAGAAGGATGCTGAGAATGCCATGAATGGAGCATGTGAGCATGTGAGCAATGAGCTTTAAAAAAACAATAGTAACCAAAAGGACATTTATGCTTAGAATGAGAAAGAGACAATTGAAACTTCTGGGTCACTGAAGGAATTTTACACTTACAGGACGCATCGAAGGCAATGTAGGCATAGGAAAACAGTGATTAACTTTTATTCTTTTGATGAAAACCAGGATGTCCAGTGCTGATTTTCAAGGTCAGCAGGCTTTCCGTAAATGAGAAGGCAAAATCTTACTCCTCAGTATATCTTAGATTCTGACCTTGAAGTTTCCTACTATAAATAACTTATTCGTCTAGTCTTGACTGATATCAGATACTGGAGGTCGTTTACTAGTTGTGTGCGACGCTCTGCCTGGATTTAATTTTTTTTTAAATCTCTATAAATCTTTATCGGGTTGTTTAGGGAATAAAGAAAAGAAAGAAAGAAAAAAAAGACACGAAACAGTAGAAAAAGATTATGAGGCGCTAGTGTTCGTAACGAGTAAACTAACACTCTGTGAATAGATTCAATAAAGAAATAACAAGTTGTACAGGCTGAGATAGATAGATAGATAGATAGATAGATAGATAGATAGATAGATAGATAGATAATGAACAGACTGGGATAGATAGATAGATAGATAGATAGATAGATAATGAACAGACTGGGATAGATAGATAGATAGATAGATAGATAGATAGATAATGAACAGACTGGGATAGATAGATAGATAGATAGATAGATAGATAGATAGATAGATATGAACAAACTGAGAATGAGTCGAAAATCTGGAACGGGTATATGTTTATTTTCATTTTTTTTATCATTTCACCCCCAGCAAGACGATAATACAACTCAGACGCAAGGCATTACCGAGATTGAAAGAAAATGAAAAAACGTTTGGACAATAAGAGAACATGATTCATAAAAACAAAATATAACTGATATTTCATTTAATTTTTTTTTAAGATCGCAGCTTATAGGAAAGCGAAATTGATTGATTTTTTTGCGGGTTGTCAACCTTTTGCAGGTTATTTAAAGCCAGAAAATATTTTTAATTGTAAGACTGTTTTGTAGATAATAATGATTTACTGATACAAGTCTTGTTAATTAACCCATAGCTAGGGGGAGAAGAGGTTGGTTCATACCTTTCCTAAGGATATTTTACGCGTAATTGAATGTAACCCGACTTGATTTGGATTTCGGCTCTCCAATTTCCAATTCCAAGTTTCATCCTGGGTAAGGCGTTAACCTACATTTGCGTCCTGGGTAAGACGTTAAACTACGTCCAGCAGCAAAGCCTCTGATCAGGAGGTTTTGAGGAGCGTGAAACTACCTCTTAATTGCTGGTGTTCGCAAGTCCACCCTGACCCGGGATGGTAGCACCTGTTAGGGTCCCAGCTATGGGCAAATAGTTAACTATTACCAGCAATACTTTTTTTGAAAAAAATTATTACCAGCAATACAATTTTGAAGGAAAAATATTACCAAAAACAGATTTTTGTTAAAACAAAATATTACCAGCAATAAAAATTTTGTCAGCATTAAATAACCAATTTGAGGTTGATATACCGTAAAGCAAAATAAACCAAACCAATTCCAAGTTATCCTTTACCTCATCCGAACATCCAAACTTACAGCATTCCTAAGTGGTCATCTATATCTTAGTTTGACCAGGCTTGATGTTACTTAACTTCGGTGACCATATGAGATATGGTCGCGAACCTGAGAGAAAAGCAAAAAACAGGCAGAGAATTCGACAAGCATGAATTTCTAGCGAAGAAACTGTTAGCATAGAACACTTTGGACACGGGCATGTGACAGTTGATTCTATGGAGGGAGATGTTCGTCAAGAGACGCGGTGGCATCCCCTCACTGGCGACATTGAGGAGAACATGACTAAAAACTGTGTATACGCTATCCCGTGCAGCTGCGGAAAGAAATATAAAGAGGTGACTGGCCGCCCCCTTAAGGTAAGGCTTCAAGAACACCAGAAAACTGTAACACGAGGGAAAATGGAAAAATCAGGCGTGGCTGACCACATATGGAGAGAAAAGGGAGATCACTGCCCTCTGTGGGATCAGGTTGAGATCGTAGACAAAGAACACCACTGGAAAATTCATTAAGGACTCAGCACATATGCTAGGCCACAAAAATCTCCTGAGCCGACCAAAATTGAATATGAATTCAATATGGGAACCAGTAATAAGGAGTGGTAGAGAAAAACGATAATAACAACAAAAATTGCAATACGAGCTCTGGTAAAAAAAAATTGAAATGATAACGGCAAAAAAATGCAATATGAGCGCTGGTAAAAAATGATAACTGAAGACATTAGATTTATAATGCCCAGAAATTCATACACCGATGTCCTCAAGGACACATGGCACAGTGGATAAAGGCGTTAGTTAGATCCAGTGACAGGACCCAAAGAGTTCAGTACTCAATTAAGACAGTAGAGAACTTGGAGAGGGGAATTAACAGATAACTGATATCCATTAGACATGGCAAGTGGAACTAGAAAAGTCTACACCACCTGAAACGTTGTAATAAATATGGTAACAAAGATGAGGACAATATTCTGAATAATGTAAATAGTGTATATAATACCTCATCTCAGAAATATAGACAGATACTAAAGGGCCGAAACGTTGTTATAGCGACAAAAATGATGTCCGAATAATGTAAATCGTGTACGTAATACCTCATCTCAGAAATACAGACAGATGCTAAAGGGCAGAAACGTTGTAATAAATATGGCGACAAAGATGAGGACAATTGTCCGAATAATGTAAATAGTGTATATAATACCTCATCTCAGAAATATAGACAGATACTAAAGGGCAGAAACGTTGTAATAAATATGGCGACAAAGATGAGGACAATAGTCCGAATAATGTAAATAGTGTATATAATACCTCATCTCAGAAATATAGACAGATACTGAAGGGCCGAAACGTTGTAATAAATATGGCGACAAAGATGAGGACAATAGTCCGAATAATGTAAATAGTGTATATAATACCTCATCTCAGAAATATAGACAGATACTGAAGGGCCGAAACGTTGTAATAAATATGACGACAAAGATGTGGACCATAGTCCGAATAATGTAAATAGTGTATATAATACCTCATCTCAGAAATATAGACAGATACTAAAGAATAAGTTTTATATATAAATATAGACAGATACTAAAGAATAAGGTTTCTGTGAAACTCACCGCTTCTATCATAACCTATATTCTATCACTTGAACAATGAGAGCTCTACTGCTGATAGAAGATCCAATCTAACCTATAAATTAACACTTTATTTCCCCGATCGCTCGATGCTATTTTTTTATATTAATATTTTTACACGCACTGGTCGAAGTATGCAAGGAGTAAGATTTTCTTGGATTTTATTTGCGATGCAGCAACTATCACGATAAACAGGATTTGCGAAGGCAAATGTTACGTTAGTTCGAGTCTCACCAAATATCTATTTTTATCTATTATTTTACTTCCAGTCCTCACTGTTTACTTATGTCTAGGCAGTTGAAAAGCAACTAAAATTAAAATGAAAAAAAAATACAACTTAAAAATAAATAATATTTAATAATGAAAAAGCATTTTATTATCTAGTTTTTATTTCAAACAAATGGTCACCTTTTCAGCTGTGATTTCTTTTTTAAACAGCGATGTTCTTTACTTAAAAGGACAATTATGAACTTATTACAATGGATTGTATGAGATCCTTTAATAGTGAGATCTCGAAGCATGCAAGCGGGAAGATTTATAGATTAATGCCTGAATATAACCGTGAGTTTATAACTGAAGCCGGTTCTAAATAGCAACTGAATTAAATAAAGCGGAATAAAATGTCTGTAAATGTTACAAATTGAATTAATGACCGCCGCGACAAGAGAGGTGTCGATACGGAGTTTTAATAGCCGCAAATTGAATGTATGCTAAGGAGGGAGCTGGGGAGAAAACCCGAGCAAATAAGATATTAATATCAACCTTTACGCAGATCTGTTAAGATAAGAGAAAGCTTTTTACTAAAGGTCTGATCTAACTTTATAGCGTCCAGAAGACTAAACAGAATGAGAGAAAAAATGCCGAAAAGAAAGGAAAAGAGATTGTTTAACGTTGGGGTAATCGTTAACAGTACATGACACGGTAAGCTAATACTGGATGGTAAATGATTTTCAAATTCTTATATTTCATATTAGTGTGACAGCTGGAGCATACATCTTAATCTATCAATCAGGTACGAAAAAATCTTAGTAATCAATACGAACATCCAAGCGAAATGACTGAGTGGGAAAGGTCTCCATATATCATGAATTGACGAAAGGTTACACTAACGCTCAAAGTGCTGGCCATTTTTCAAATCATTAAAATCACTGGAGCGTAACAGAATAGATAAGCAACAAAATTACAGTTTACCCCAGCGTCACAATAGATAGCAAGTGATAGAAAAGGTCAGCTTGTTATATATATATATATATATATATATATACGGTAAGGTTCACCTTGTAAAAGGTCCGGGGCCCATTCGAGATCGAGGGTTACATTAAGGAGTAGTTTATATGGATAGGAGGAGAAGATAACGGTTAATTCTAGACTTGAACAGGTCAAGATTGTAGTGATCGGGGAAACATCCTCTTCGGAGTTTGTTCCACAGTACAATTGTTCACGGGAAAAAGCTGTCCGAGTGGAACTTACTCCTACAGCAGTAACACGGAGGGAATGTGGATGGTTTGTTACAATGAAAGTGTCATATTGGGCTCAAGCCACGAAGGTGAGGCCTGGTGGAACCAAGGAATGTAGTTAGTCCGAGCACTTTCCATATATATATATATATATATATATATATATACATGAATCATTCATACAAAAAAACAAATATAGAGGTTAATGATTTAAATGGCGAGAATACATCTTCGCAAACAATATAAATAAGATACATCAACCCCGAACCTGTATGTGAATGATATGATCCCTGTTCATAAATTCCAGTTGCATAAGGTCTTTTAATTTTAACAAGCTTTCGTCTGTTTCTTACAGACATCCTCAGGTATGGAAATAGATTTTGTTCTTGTTTTTACTTCTCGGTAATAAGAGGACAACGAAAATAGAGATGTAATCCGAAAAATGCTATGAGAATTGTGTTATTGTTTTGGAACGTGCGGTCGCAACACTGAGTTTGAATTTAAAGTTTAAGGTTGTGCGTTTTTGTACAAAAGAGAATTCTTTTTTACTGGTAGATTTTCCGTCTATGTGGCATGAACTATATTGTTCTATAATTACAGTAATGTCACACTTATTATCCAAAAGTTGCACGTTGGATCAGTTATTTTTTGTATGAATGATTCATGAATTTATAAATTATAATTTGCACCTTTAATTGAAATATATATATATATATATATATATATATATATATATATATATATATATATATATATATATGCTATTGCTTAACATATAATAAATAGCAGGAAATGTGTGGTTGATTTTAGTGCGGACTGTTTTTTGATTTTATCTAGGTCCCACTCCACATTTCACCTCAAGGTTCTAGAGTCCTTGTATATCAGATCCTGTGGGCCTTCCCTTTGTAAACAGAGGGAATGCTTACTGGGTCTGAATGTTATTGGACTCTTTCTTGAAATTCATATCTTTTTCCTTCACCTTCCATTCGTTATATTAATTTACAAACCTATATATTTTTATATCCCAGAAAAATAAACTTGATAAGTCATGGGACGAAACAAGTTGTTTTTAATTTTGCTTTTTTCCTATATATATATATATATATATATATATATATATATATATATATATATATATATAATATAAATTCAGTTGATAAAGGACCCAGTCGTGCCAGAGATTTTCGATTTTTCAACATTTTTCTCAGCATGCTTCGATTTTTTTTAATGGCCTAATAATAAACAATAATAATTATTATTATTATCATTATTTTGCCTTTCAGGAATTTCTTTCATCGGCCTACTATACCCACTCATAATTATATATATATATATATGTGTGTGTGTGTGTGTGTGTGTGTGTGTGTGTGTGTGTGTGTGTGTGTGTGTGTGTGTGTGTGTGTGTTGAAAGAGCCGCGTTCATATTCCAGTCGAATCCATTACGTTCATTTACGTGCTAATACCTTTGGGAAAGGTATGAATTCTCTTCTTCTCACTCCAGCTATGGGTAATTAACAGGATAGACTGCGTTCTATAGCCTTGGATGGTAGCTGCTCTAGGAGAAGGACAATTCTGAATTCAAAACCTGCGGAGGGTCGTTTGGGGACCTTGTGGCACGTAGTGCACCAGGTCTCTGTATCCACTTTTACATATATATATATATATATATATATATATATATATATATATATATATATATATATATATTTAAAATTATAACATATGCGTGTTATAACATAACTACAGATATAGCCATTTTGTTATAAAATTTCTGGTGTCTTATGAAGTGAGAGAGTTGATTGCAAAAGCCATATATATCGTCGTCCACCGACAGACTGTTTCGCTGTATCACAGCTCATCAGTGTGGATAGACATCCGGTTGCCTCTTGCTAGGATCAAAACCCGATTGAATTGGCGTCAGTCGGGAATTCTACCACTAAGCCGTTGGCGCACGGCAGGGATGAAGGTGAATTTTAAGTGCATTTATTTTTAGATAAACATACAGAGAGAACTCAATTCGATTTACCGAAGAGTATATTTCTTATTACTTATATATTACTTATATACATATGTATAAAATATATTTCTTATTACTTTAAACGTTATATTTTGGTAGATACACTTGTTTGAGTAGACGACTTGCTTTAATTTTTTTAATGTGGGATTCACATTTTCCGTCTTGTTCACTCGAGAGTCTTAAAAAATGTGCCATTCGTTGGGATTCGAACCTGCATCTTCCACTGTAGGGGAAATCTCCAATTTATCTGATGAGTTTTAGACCACTTGCTCATTGAGTCTTCATTAAATTTCTTGAATAACCAAGCCGATAGATGTAAGTCATACTGTTTAAAAAAGTAACTGGTTGATTACACAAACACGCGTATCAATTGAAATATAACGTTGAATGTAATAAGAATTGTTTGGTTAAAGATCAACGAGAGGTTTTTTTATTCTTTTTTATTTCTATTTGTCGGACTATTTTCTTGGTTTCCGGTGTCAATGTCTGAAGATTTCCGACTTCCATAAGCCATTATCGAAGTGTTTTTTGTACTGTGCCAGTTTCATCTTTTTCCGTTACACATTTTATTACACACACACACATCTATATAGATAGATAGATATTTTAAAACATTTTTATGTTTATACATTCTTTTTATAGATACAAATATTTAAGTAAATGCTCTGTTTATAATAAACAAGATTTACCGGCCTGAATGTCCGAGAAATTTTCATAGAAAATATTCGTCCTCCGACAGGAATCGAACCTGCATTCTATACGGAACTCGTCATATAGCCAGACGTGCTAACCGAACGATCCTCTGCAACTCAATCGGTCGAGGATCGTTCGGTTAGCAAGGTCGATTTTACTGCTTTTAAACTACAATCTTCCATAATTCTCTATTTGTATCTATAAAAAGAATGTATAAACATAAAGATGTCTTAAAATAATCGTCGGACTTTGTCCATTTCATTATATATATATATATATATATATATATATATATATATATATATATATATATATATTGGGGAGAAGTATGGCAAAGTGGAAAGATTTTTTTTCCACTTTGTTACACTTCTTTCTCATAAAATTGTTCTTGATATATAAAAGATTTATATAGCGTTATTCAATACACACACACACACACACACACACACACACACATATATATATATATATATATATATATATATATATATATATATATATATCAAAGTGTAGGAGAACGAACAGTAGGATTACAGCGTCCAAAATATTAATTTAAAAATAGTGAACAAAAATTTGGAGAGTTGACTTGAAGGGAGATAACCAAGACATCCAGAAGTGACATGGCACGTGGAACTAGAACAATATATCTCTGAGGAGGAAATAAAGGCTTCACTTCGAATTCCAATCACCGGAAGAAGACTCTTCTTTGAATTTTGTCAAGAATCCCGAGATATAAAACAGGCGGAGCAGATGGCAGATTTAAAGATGTCCATGATGGATTCTGACGAGAAAGATTTTCTGGTAGGACACAGTAAACTAACATTGCTATCAGCAGACATAGTAATAAAATCAATATGGTCGCTCCAATTCATGTCAGTGGAAAACGGGAACGCAAGAAGGCGCAAAGTGTTGCTCATGGAAGATTTACGTATATTGCTTTTCTGTATTATATGTAAATTGCAATTCCTCCTTGGGAAATATATTGGATTGTTTTCCCGCTGCCTTTTCTGCGATTTGGAAGTTTTCGTTTTCTTAGAATGAGAGGCTTGTGGCCATATCACGTTGAAACACGGCTTCTCGTACGGTCGCTTAAGTAACGCCGAGCCTGGTCAGTACCTACATAGGTGACCGTTCAGGAATACCAGGTGCTGTAATCTTGGATGTGCGGGTGGCGATGTAATGGATAACGCAATTAGAAATCAGAGAGCCGAGTTCCAATTCCAGTCGGGTTCGTTATATTCATTTACGTGTAAATAGCCTTAGGAAAGCTATGGGTTAATTAGTAGAGCTTGTGTCAGTAAATTAGTACTATCTGCAAAAGATTTTTACAATTTAAAATTATTTTCCGGTTTTAAATAACCTGCAAACGGTTGATAAGCCGTAAAAAAAAAAAACAATCAATCTCTTAGAATGATTGCTACGCTAGTCTAGAGACCTGTCTGTGCTATTTAACTCATATCTGATCGGAAAAGATGGCTTCATGCTTTTACCTAGGGCATTAGTGCAAAAAATGAACTCAACAGACTAAGCAGGACGTTGAACTCGACGATTCCACTTTTTGCACCGATAGCCGTTACACTAACCCGTTCAATTCTCCAAAAGGAATA